AGCTGGGATTACAGGCACACGCCACCATGCCCAGCTGATTTTTTGCATTTTTAGTAGAGACGGGGTTTCACCATGTTGACCAGGATGGTCTCGATCTCTTGACGTCGTGATCCACCCGCCTCGGCCTTCCAAAGTGCTGGGATTACAGGCGTGAGCCACCGCGCCCGGCAACGGCTACTCTCTCTACAGCTCTCCGCCTTCCACCACGTCTCACATGGAAAAACAGAACGCCCAGGAGTGGCCAAGGCCAAGCACCGGGCACCCGTTCCGCACAGGGCACCCATCTGCTGTGGCCTCGGGCCAGTTCACCTCCGCAAGGGCCAACATCCTTCATCCAGAAAAGGGGTAGCCCAAGGGGACCTCAAAAGAAAGACTTTAACCCCCAGAACTTTGTAAACGGGGCCCCAGAGAAGCTCACTTGGGTCCACTCCCACCTTGTTAAGTGCCTTCTTGATTGAATCAATTCCTGCTTTCGCCGCGTTGTTAGGTCGTTACTTTGAACGCTCCCCCCTCCAAAATCTATGTCCAAAAGCCAAAACCTTGGACATCTCACAGTCAAGACTGCCTTCCGGTAAAACAGGGACAGGATGAGATAAGAGGGCTCCCTCCCGGGAAAGCACGTTTTCCAGGGGTTGGAACTGGGGAGCAGCGGAGCCCGGCACGAGGAAGGAGGTGGGGGGCGACGGCGCCCTTGGACAGGGGTGGGGTCTGCAGGACTTCAGGACCGGGCAGAGGAAGCACGTCCCCGCACTGGGGCTGTGGCGCTGCGCTCCGGGGACCCGCGGGAGCGAGGCTGGGAGACTCCCAGGGCCGGGGAGAAAATGGGAAACAGCACGAGGCGGGAGGACCGGTCCGGAAGCGTTTGCAGCAGGAATATTCGCCGATGGGAGGTGCCTGCACAGCCCTAGTTCAGAAAGACCGGGACGGGACAAGCCTCAGGGCGACTTTAAATTCAAAGGGAAGCGACCCACAGACCCTCACCCAGACGTCTCAATTGGCTCTGTGTTGAGAAAAGACAGGACCAGCCTCAGGGTGACTTCAAACTCAAAAGGAAGCGACCCACGGACTCTCACCCGGACGTCGCAATTTGCTCTGGGTCGAGAAAAAGGGGCCAAAATTCCCAAGTCTGTGGGGACCCTACGTCCCCGGTGTAGTAGCACCAGAGGCCTGAGAAGCGCAGACAAAACAAACAGAGCGAAACTCACGCGCCGCGGTGCCACCATCAGTCCATACCGTCCACTTCCGGGCCTGTGCCAATCAGCGCCGGACAGAAGCCAGGCCTCGACTGGACCCTCAAGGAGGTGGGCGGGGCCTGAGTGAGGGCGGGAAAGGACGCAGAGAGGTGGGCGGGCCTCAGTGCGGAAAGGGCCGGGAGGAAACTGCCAGAGGCCTGGGAAGGGGCCTGAGGCGTGAGGGTTCCGCGGGGGCGGGGCCTGAACTTCCCTCTATCCGGCTCTTCGGGTCTGCGTGTTCCGAGTTTTAGAGGCAAAATCCGCCAGGGGGGTCTGGAGCAGCTCAGCAGTCTGAGAAATAGACCTCCCTCAGAAGTCAACGTGGGGCGGTAACTGAATCCAGGAAAGTTCCTTGCTATTGAAATTCATTTTGGCAATTTAATTCCAAAGCCTTGAAGTTGTCCAGGGCAGGAAAGTAAACTAGACGGTGAAATGCAAAGCCTAGCTTGAGGGAAACTTACAGTTGCATGCTGACGGTCCACAGAACAGCGTAGAAATCCTCTCTCTTTTCTGTAAAGTCTGAGCCTGCCCTGGACGGCAAGGCAACCCCGGTGAACCGCAGGTACACCTCTAGAGGGCATTCCTGAATTAGAAAATCTGAGAAAGCTGGAAGACCGAAAAAAGAGGAAGAAATAATCAACACCTGCGGCGCCTGCTTAACTCTGAGACATTCTCTATTGTTCCTTATGCCTCCCCCAATTGATAAGACCATTGCACTTTGTAACCGACCTTGGTCAACCTTGTGACTCCACACCCTATGACCCCCCCACTCAGCTTTTTTTTTTTTAAGACGGGGTTTCACCATGTTGGTCAGGCTGGTCTTGAACTCCCGACCTCAGGTGATCCGCCTGCCTTGGCCTCCAAAGGGCTTGGATTACAAGCGTGAGCCACCACGCCGGGTCCCTCTCAGCTTTCAAACCTATGACTCCCTCCCAGCTTGCAGAAAACTGCCCTCAACTGTAACTCCTGTAACTTTCCACTGCCTACCCCAAAGCCCATAAAACCAACTCCTATCCCACCAACCCTTACTAAAAATACAAAAAATTAGCCGGGCCTGGTGGTGCATGCCTGTAATCCCAGCTACTCAGGAGGCTGAGGAAGGAGAATCGCTTGAATCTGGAAGGCAGAGGTTGCAGGGAGCCGAAATTGAATCACTGCCCCGCAGCCTGGGTAAGAAAGTGAGATTTTGTCTCAAGAGAAAAAAAAAGTGACTAATGTCAACTGAAGTTGGAAAGCACCACACCCTTGCGCACTCACAAAGACATGACCCTCTGATATGGCTCCAGACAAAATCCACAGGTTTAAAAGTCTTAAAGGTCAGGAGCGGTTGTCCACGCCTTTAATCCCAGCACTTTGGGAGGCCCAGGCGGGAGGATTATCTGAGACGGAGTTTGAGACCAGCCTGACCAACCTGGATAAACCCCATTTCCACTAAAAATAAAAAAGTAGCCAGGCGTGGTGGCGAATGCCTGTAATCCCAGCTACTAGGAAGGGTGAAGGGGGAAGATTCACTTGAACCTGGAAAAAAATGTTGAGATGAGTTGAGTTGAGATGTACCATTGCACTCCAGCCTGGAAAA